TTCCGCAAATACGTCCGTGCATGTCATGTGTCCCGCTGTCGCAACCGTAAAGAGGATGGGTGTGAAATGGGTGATGAGATGCTCCTGCAGCACTGCACAGCGGTCCGTGACCGATCTTGGAAGCGACGGATGCGTCGAGTCGGGCTCAAAATGAGAAGTCGTAGCGACGCTGTAGTATAGTGCCTTTCGTACCTGCGGCAGGAGGTCAGCAGACCATCTGCGTAGTCTCGTATGCGCCACGCACCGATGGGATGTCGTGTTCCACTGCAAGGCCCAATGCCTCTTCTGGATTTTCTGGCGTGATGAAGTTCACGATCCCTGGTTCCGGTTCTAGGAGCATGCGAAACCGTTCACGGGCGAGGATGTGGATAGTGGGGAATCTGAGGGACTTGTCAGATGTTACGCGTAGCAAAGATGATACCGCGGATAGTGGAGCAGAGTCTATTGGTCTTGTAAAGGTGTAGTGATGTCACGGAGCGCAAAAGAGCCAGAGCAGGGGATAAGATGGTGCAGACGATACAGGCGAGCAGTAGGACGTACACATCGTGATACAGGTGCTCCAGCAAAGCTGTAAAGTCTCTTGGGGTCGCCAAGCCTTCTGATATCTCGACCGTTGGCGGGTCTCTAGTTTCGGCTCTTGTGCTTTGCGAGACAGGCAGCGACTCAAAGATAGAGGAGTGCCTGCTTAAGAGGGATTTGTGAAGTCTGAAGCGTTCCCTTGCAACTGCAATGATGATGGAACCATCGTCAAACCAAAACGCGGATGGCTGCGACGAGGTGCGCGCGCGTTCGTGGTCTATGGAAGAAGATGCCGGAAGGACGTCGTTGGCCATGGTTGAGATCGAGCAGGGGCCTGGTACCCTCGCGTCCCGTTCGTCTCCCCCTGACCTCGTCCTCGTTCGCCCCGGCTCCTCCCGCCATTCAGTCCGCTCTCTGTCCCTCACCCGGCATCTTCCATGTCTCTGGGGCTGCTAGCTGATGTCAGTGGGGCGCGAGGAGGATAGGTGAGACGGTGGCGGTGGTGGCGAGAACGCGAGTTAACGCGACGCGCTTAAGCGCGCCGCGCGAGTCTGGCGTAGGCTGCTCTTTGCCATCGCCGCTGGGACTTTGTATCGTGCACGGTATTAGCAGCACTCCATAAATAGGTATCCAGATATAGTTCCATGTAGCGATGCAGCTTTCATGTCCGTAGTCTGATAAGGTGCGTGCATGACCAAAGAACATACAAAAGCAAAACAACCATCCAAAGGCATTGCTTGGTCAGTCTCTAAATGCTCGGCAATGCGCACACCAGATAGCCGCAGTCCTCTCAGGCCTGTCATGTATACTTGTTGTTCTCCTGCAGAAGATAGTTTCCTGCGGGCGATGACCTCCGCAGCAACCGCACAGATACTGGACGGTAAGACACCGGGCACTCTATTGCAGCAAGCTATCTGACACAACAAACTGTCTAGTGGTGTGCTTTAGCAGCCTCTTCCTTAGCGATCTGCTCGCGGTAGGGGTTTCGAGGATCGTTCTTGTATTGTTCAGCTGAAAGTGAATAGTCAGTCTTTTCATGCGCTTAGACAATTCATAGGTGGAACATACAGCGGACGCCCATGTCCTGTGCCTTCGAGACAAGGAAGAACGTAATGCTAGAGGCGGCAAGGAAAGGCCACATTGGCTTCAAGACCTAGAAGACGCGGCCTGTCAGCGGGCATGTTTTGCGAAGGGCGTGTAACAGAGACGTGCAGGAGTGGGCCAGGCGCGGAGTCCGAGGAATGCCATTGCAGTGGTTCTATTACAGGTCTTTTATCTGTGAGCTTGAGACAGAGGAAGGAAATTTGCGAGGGGCCGACCTAGATGTGGGATGGACGCAAGCTACTTTGCTACAGAGCGCAAGCTCGTCGAGCGTGGGCAGCGGGGCCGGGTACGGCCGAGGCACGTGACTGGTAAGCATATGTTGAAACCAAATAAGCCGCGGGTAAGCAGAATTTACTGTTAGGCGCCTAACTATGCTAAGAAGATAAGCTATGAATAAGAGAATGACACGCTGCCTCCTGATACGCGCATCGCGCTCACGCCTCTTGATCCACGCCAAATCATATCCGCTACTTGTCTTCTCATTCAACCAGTCGAGAGATTGATAGTGCCAGAGTGAGCGTACCTGCTCGTCGACGTAAGCTATCGCCTGGTCACACGCGTTGCGCTTTGAGCGACCCTCCCCACCGGTCTTCGGAGTAAGGTACAACGATGAGCACTCACTCAGCAACACCCGCCGCATCAGCAGTGAGCTAATCTTTCACCTCGTACCCTAAACTTGGCCGACAGTGAGCGCGTTTAGTGGAGGCAGTTCAACTTTTTCGACATCACTCCAGTGAAAGACGTTCACGACCTCGCTAGTTCGCCCGAGATATTCAAAGTGAGAATGACCACTCCTTCTACCTGTGCAATTTACGAAGAGTTGTAGAAAACGCCGGAGATCTCATGCATTACTTCGACTCAACATGGTACGATCGTGGCAGACATTCACGGGAGCGTATATCGGCTCAATGAGGACTTCGAGACCGTCAACGCATGGGTCGCGCACACAGGCGGGCGGGTGACACACATGCTTGAGAGAAGTGGACTTTTGGTTACCATAGGGGTGCGTTGTAGCCCAGTTTCATGTTGTTCCCCTGCTCATGGTTCGCTAGGAAGAAGACACCGCCCGTCACCCATTGCTGAAGATATGGGACTTGCAAACAACAGAGAAGAAATCGGGTGCGCCGGTCCTTCTCCGCTCTGCTAAGGTTCAAAGCGGAAATCGACCGCACCCTGTCTCTACTATCGCATTGACTGCCTCGCTTTCTCACCTCGCTATCGGCCTTGCGGACGGCACTGTTCTGCTCTATCGACATCTCGACCAATCCATCTTTAACGGCTCGACCTCACTTACTGCGCTTCCAAAGGCACGTGTTGTGCTCGAGGGTTCGAGTGACCCGGTCACTGGCCTAGGTTTCCGCGAGTCTAACCGCGACAACCTCGACATTCACCTCTTCATTGTGACAACCAACCGTGTGCTCATGTATCAAGTGTCGGGCAAAGGGCATGGAGGAACGCCTACCGCTGTTGATGAGGTTGGCTGCGCGCTTGGCTGTGCCACAATGGATCATGGCGCAAGGGAGATCGTTGTCGCCAGAGATGAGGCAATCTATCTGTGCGGTATTGAAGGACGGGGCGCGTGCTATGCATACGAAGGTGTGCTCATCCGATCTCCCATAACCCCTTCATATCGCCGACATTTCTGCACAGGGCACAAATCTGCGGTGTATGCGCATCGCAATTACTTAGTTATCGTTTCACCGCCGTTCACGCCCACCGCATCCGCGCCTTCCGCGACCGTTCGCAATTTTGTCAGGGACAATGATATTGGCGCAGAAATTTCGAGGGTCGTCGTGTTCGATCTAGAGAATAAGTTTGTCGCCTACTCAGGGACGTATACGGACGGTATTCGAGACATTTTCGCCGCAAGTGGACAGATCTACTTACTATCCAATGACGGCAAGGTGCGCATCCCTCTGCCTGTGCATTGACTGTAGCTGATTGATCCCAAGCTTCTCCGTCTAGAAGAGAAGCCGACCCCTGAAAAACTCGAGTTGCTGTACCGCAAGTCGCAATACTTACTCGCGCTGAGCCTGGCAAAGACACAGGGCTTGGATGAGCAAAACGTTGCCGATATCCGGAAGCAGTACGGCGACCATCTGTACGCGAAAGGCGAGTACGATTCAGCGATGCAACAGTTCGTACAAACAATTAGTTACGTGCAACCGAGCTATGTCGTTCGCAAGGTACATAGTTCTGTCGCTGAAGCTAACCTCTCAGCTGACCGCGTACGCAGTTTCTCGACGCTCAACGTATTCACAATCTTGTCATGTATCTGCAAGAACTGCATAATCGCGGGCTTGCTAATGCGGACCACACGACGCTTCTGCTAAACACGTACACGAAGCTCAAGGACGTCACGCGGCTTGACAGCTTTATCAAGAGCGAATCGCGCCGTACATCCGCAGACAGTGACGCAGATGAGTTGCCGTTCGACCTCGATACGGCGATTCGCGTTTGCCGCCAGGCAGGCTACTTTGAGCATGCATCGTACCTAGCGGAGAAGTACGAGCGGCACGAAGACTATTTGCAGATTATGGTCGAGGACGCGGGCAATTACCGCGAAGCATTGACGTACTTACGGAGACTTGGAACCGAGGCGGTACGTGACGTCAATCGAACTGCTTTCAATCTGTTGATCAAGTATCTCAGGCCGAAGGAAATCTGGCGCGGTATGGCCGCGCCCTCTTGGATAATCTTCCCGAGGAGACTACTGCTCTTCTTATCGATCTCTGTACAAGCCTGACACCCTTGGCCATCAACGATGAGGACTCACCACCTGCGTCGGCTCGCCAGTCTAGTGTTGGTGGGCCGTCGTACTTGTCATATCTTGCGCTGAACAGAGGGTCGGCGGCTAGTGCATCGTCAGAGACTGCACAGCCATCGACGGCCTCGACTACCACCACCGTCAAGGCTCCTGCGCCAAGACGGCAAGGGTCCGTGAACGTATCCGACGCTAGCCCTTCCTCTCAGCCATCCCGCACTGCGACGCCGACTGTGGCCAAGTCGGCTCGGCACCAGGTAATCAAGCGCCCATCACCTCGAGTGTACTTCGCGCATTTCATCGACCATCCGGTAAACTTCCTAAACTTCCTCGAGCAGGTCGCGCTGCTGCGGTGGGGCCGAAGTGTAAACAGTAAAGAGGGCGTTCCGACTGTTGTTGAGTCCGACCTGAATGCCGACCCAGAGGTGGAGCGGCGCGACCAAGCAGCGGTATGGAACACTCTGCTCGAGCTTTACCTCGTGGATACGCCGGACAAGGCACTGCGGGTGTTGCAACGAGATGATCTTCCATACGACCACACCCACGCGCTCATTCTGTGCTCAACGCGTGGCTTCACACCTGGCCTCGTCCTGCTTTGGGAGAAGCTTGGCATGTTCGAGGATGTTCTCCGCTTCCACATGGACCGCGAGCGCGAAGATCCGACGTCAGGTGGGTCCAAGGATGTTATACACTGCCTCGATAAGTACGGTGCTCAGCAGCCGGGCTTGTACCCGCTCGTGTTACGCTTTCTGACGTCTTCACCGGAGCTACTTGGGCGCCACACGGACGACCTCGGCCGAATCCTCGAACATATTGAGTCAGAGAAGATCATGCCGCCGCTCGCGGTCGTGCAAGTCCTTAGCCGGAACAATGTTGCGAGCGTTGGGCTCGTGAAGCAGTGGCTGTTATCGCGCATCAAGAGCGCACGCGCGGAAATTGACATGGTGAGTATTAAGCCGCTTATTCTTATCCCGTCGTTTGAATTTCTGACAGCATCGCAGGACCAGAAGCTCATCGACTCGTATCGTACGGAAACGAAGGCGAAGCTCAAGCAGGTTGAAGATCTATCTGACCCCGAGCACCCGCGAGTGTTCCATGTCACTCAGTGCTCGGCTTGCGGTGGACAACTCGATTTACCTAGTCTCCATTTCATGTGCAATCACAGCTACCATCAACGGTACGTCGCCTCTTCTGTATATTGTCATATTCTGACTGCGCCCAGGTGTTTGGGCGAGCACGAAACCGAGTGTCCAAACTGCGCTCGGCAGCGCAGCATCATCCGCGAAATTCGGCGCAATAACGTGCGGCTTGCGGATCAGCACGATGTATTCTTATCCGAGGTTAAAGAGGGTGGCTATGCGGCCGTGGCGGCGGGATTTGGTCGTGGCGTACTCAACATGTCGCGGCTTGAAGAGATCGCAAGTTAACTTGTCTGGTCAGTTAACTTGTCTGGTCCTGACTCTCACACATACCTTCTGCCGGATACCCTTCAATTGGTGCACCTGCTAATAGAATTAGGCAATTATCTACGCTCGTCTCGAGTGCGGAGATGCTATGTTATGCCCGACAATAACTACATGTTAAGGTACATTGTGGCGGTGTTGCCTGTGTTTAGTCCGGTATTTAAGAGCGGTATTGGCAATTACAGTATTACAACGATTGAAGGACACCCACGAGGCTCTCCTAAGAAGCGCGAATAGAGCGGAGGAAACACTCAAGTCCACGAAAGGCACAGAGACGACGAGCTAACGGCTGGCCGGAGAGAAGGGCGTCGCCGGCGTCTGTGGGCGCTTTTCCTTTTCCTTGCGCCCGAACCCGAGCATCGGCGCTGTGAAGCTCAGCTTCCTCGTGGCTCGTTTCGCAGGCTTCGTCGCACCTGTCGACGAGGCCATAGTGCTTACGCTCTCGCTGAGTGTGCTCGACGTCCCGTTTGAGGCCGAAATTCCGAGGCTCGAAGGTGGGGCCGACATTGATGCCGACGCGTGCGAAGTGTGCGGCCGCTGCGTTTTTGGCGCGCCCGAATGATGTGCCAGTCCGTTTGGTGTGCTGCCTGGGCTTGACATCACATGCGACAACGGCATCGTGTGTGAGGATGGCAATGGCGGTAGCGGTGGCGCGGCCTCCGACTTTGGCCGTTCGATCGCGCCACCAGCGGTCGAGGGCCGTTGTCTTGAGCTGCGCCTGTCGGATTTTTCAGACAGTACGAACGGCTCCACCGCCGAGTTCTTGCCTTCCTGGACCGTTCTCAGTGCAGGAGACGCTGCTTGCATAGGAGAGGCGATAGACGCGGGTATGGACGTCGAGATGGGTATGGTTGGCTGGCTCATCAGCCCGGCCTCGGATGCTGTTCGGCTTGCACGTTTGGAAGGCTTGTACCATGGAACGCTATTGTCGTCATGCCCCTGTCCCGCCGCCGACAAGCTTCGCTCTGCGAGATGGCTGGAACTACTAGGTGGTGGCTTGTCCGAACGAAGGCTCTTGCGCTTGAACCAGTTGCCTGGGCTCTTCTCCTTCTCCTTGCCGTTCGGGACGACTGCATTCATCAGAGGAGACGGGACAGGAACCACTGGCGACGGAGTCGAGCCGGCAAAGCGAGTGTCAGCGGTCGACGACCGCGGGGTTGACGGAATGGGTATTGGGGGGACTGGTGGGACCTCTACAATGCTTTTACGATGTTCTGACCCGTTGGTGGATGGAGGGGGGCTGCGCAAAGCTCGGAAGCTGATTGACGGTGAGTGCCTGAGAGTGCCGAAGAAGCCTTTGTTGCCTGTCGCCCCAGGGGTAGACGGTACCGTCGGCGACACATTTGCGGTGTCCATGCTAGTGCGAGCAACAGGGATATTCAAAGACAGCACCAGCTGGGGCTGTGGGATCGGCTGCGGTTCTGCTGTGGTGAAGGGCGATATGAACGTAGGCGGCGATGGATCGGAACGGGACGATGGGGTTTGCTGGTCGTCAGGTGTGAGACCCGGGGGTAATGCAGGCGATGGGTTGAGAGACTCGTCCTCCTCATGAGTAGTCGCCAGTGTCGCAGTCTGGCTCGCTGACGAGTCGGCAGGTGCGTTGGTCGAGGCTGCCGCGGACTCCGACTGTGGTGGATGCAGACCCAATGCGGACGGGTCGAGATCAACGGCTTGATAGTACAGCACATATGCTGCGCCAGCGTTTGAATCACCAAAGTATCGCAGGATGTCAGACTCCTTGATAGCCTCGACACTGTCGTCGTCGAATAGGAACCAGGTGCCGCGTGCTTTCACAACACTTACGTAGTGACCATGGTGGGGACCGCTAGCGAGAAGTAAGGTTACCAGCGGGAACAAAGAAGCGTGGCGATAAGGATAGCTGGGCGGACACTCACTTGCCAATGTGTACAACGATAGCAAAGAGCTCGTACAGTCGGTCCGGATTCTGCGCATCATCCACGGTATTAAAGAGGCGCAGCTCGAGGGGAAAGGCGACGCGGTACGCGAGCTTGATGTACTTGCCGACGTCTTCTTGGTACTTGAAACGCTTGAGATGCAACGCGAGGACGTTCGGTAACTTTTTGATCTTCATTCTACGTCCGCGCCCGTTTAGTAAGGCGGCCCGAAAAATCAGCATATGACGACACCTACCGCTTCTCGGCCTCCTGAAGATCGCAGCAGGCGTCGCAAAAAAACTTATTCCTCTGGCACAGCATTTCGCTCGCACTGAATTGACGCAAACATGCCGTGACGCTCGAGTTTTGGTCAATATCGATCGACAAGTCCAGGAAGGATTCATCCCGCGACGAGACCGTCTCGCATGTGAGGCACCGGGTTTCGCTTGTCAGGATGCCCTCGAAGAGCTGGTGCACGAGGGTGTTTTTCGCAAGATTCTGGGCGACTGATGTCGCCACTGTCGAGGATAGCGTTCCCACCGACGCTGCGACTGTGCAGAATGAGCCCATATGATCGCGCTTTGAAAGCAACCAACAACGCACGTTCTTCCCCCGGGGTGCTACTGGGCGAACCATTCCCGTTCTGCAACTTCTTCTTCTCCTCATCCATCTCCTCTACGATCTGATTGAGCAGGTAGTTCAGGAACTCGTGCGCGTCCTGGTGCATTGTAGACCGGAAAAGTTCGTTAAGCTCCTTGAGCTTCTCGATGAAGGCTTTCGGCGCGACTGTTCCCTTATCTGCCGGGTTCCGGCTGATGTGCAAGTACAGTGATCGCAGAGCAGACAGCAGTGTTGGGGGCGTTGGTGGAATTGGCGGCCCCGGTGAATGCGTTGGGCTTGCGCAGTCCAAACTGGTGGTAAGGTTCTCGGACACGGACCCTTTGCGGCTCGACTTCGGGCGAGTATGGCTCGGAGGTGGCGGTGCTGGCTGTGGTGGTAATAGAGGAAGCATGGATTGCGCGAGGAGCTCTTCCGGAAAGGACGGGTCAGGGTACTGGACAACGAGGTCTCTGAAGGGCCCGCAGAAATAGAGAGCCTGAAGGACGGAATTGGCGTAGCTACGGAAGGCGAGAGCGTCAGCTTCAATAAACGCATAGTATGAAGATAAGCGGACAGGGAACGAGGAGGTCAAGGACGCAGATGGACAGACGTGCCATGCGGTTACTGCCGGGCTATCGCCAGACACCTCGTACGTGTGAACCCCTTTGAGTGCACGAGGAAGTGCATGGAAGAGAGCTCCAGGAACTGAGGCATTTTGTGCCTACCACAGGTATCTTGCCCGAATCCACTGCGAGCAGCACGAGCCGGGAGCGTAGTCGAGTTGTAGAGGCGAAATAGAAAGATGTGCGCACCAAGTGTTTCCAAACTGCAACAAGCAGATGATCAGCTATGGAGGGGGGAACAGTAGATGGATCAACACACGTTTTCTAACCCAAACTGCTTCGCATCTGCAGCAGCGGTCACAGGGATCGCCTCCTCCGGCTGCGCTGGAGAGGTTGTAGTGCTCGTACTTGGGGCTGCGCCAAAGGCCGGTATCCATTTCGTGATGGCCATCGCTCGAGACTGTGGGGAAACGGATCCTGACACGCCTCTGCGCCCGATGTGCTGGGCGGTGGCGGCGACGATGGCGGCGTAGAGGAGGTGGGCTTTCTCGTCGAAGTCGGAACACTCGAGGTCGTCGAGAACTGCACCTGAGGTAAGCGCCCGAGAACCGCGCCGCTTTAGCCGTCAAGGCACCGTTCCCCACATAGAACTCCAATCAAAGTCTCGTTGCGCTCTCCTCCCATCGTGTTTTCTACCCCTGAACACACATTTCCGCGGAGACTTTGGTGGTCAATCTCCCCCGCTCTACTACATCATGTTTTTCGGTCAAAAAGAAATGCTACACGCAGACTTCGCCGACATCTTGAAAGGCACCGATGAGCGCGTCGACAGGCACAGGAAGCACCCTGAAGCACCGCTCAATACATTCTGTCTCAAACGACGAGCTTCGTGGAAACATATCAGATAACGGACGCCCTTGTGTTAGAGTTGTCCCACGAGGATAGTCATCCATGTGCAGCGCGGGCTAGGTTTGGATCAACAACACCCCTGACATGGCAGTCAGTAATGGTACACCTTTTCTGCCAAGATACGAACCAAGGTTAAAGTCCGCACAGCTGGATAGATGCTGACCTGTATCCGGGCATGGCGGTCCGACGGTGCACTTTGGAGCCCTCTCATAAATCTTTCTACTTTCGTAACCGCTCAAGCTTTTGTATACGAGGTGCAGCGAGATTCAGGTGCATCGACCAGAGAGAACGAGTTTGCGGATAAATGCACTGAGCCCACGTATTATTGCTGAAGCACACCGTGCTATTTGGTCAGTGATCACGTATTTAAGGCAGTGAGTAGTAATGATCAGACAGTATGCAGTTGACTTTCATGGCTATCTACCACGGCTACGAGGGGCAATGCTCTGCTTCTAGATGTGCTAGGCTCTTCACCATAGCGGTGCATAACGCGGGCGAGTTCTGTAATACTTCAGTAACAGCCGGTGGGCAATAATATGGAAGCATCCGACTCTATCAGTATGCTCGCTCAAAAGCGGTGTAAGTATACCAAATTACAGCAGCAAATGGTCAGACCGCAAACAGTGTTGTAGAAGAAAAGGGCAGGGGAATCGACTCATTGGCCCGAACAGAGCTGACGGATTCTGCGTGCGTGCTGCTGATCAGCCGCTGATAAGACATTCTTGGGCCTTGCACACTGACATCGTGAGTGCCTAATATGATCTGCATAGCCTCAAATCAAATGGGCATTTACGCTCAGGATAATGTCGGGAGACGCGTCGACATGAGCAGTGAGCACGCTTACGCACATCGCATGACTCATGAGATTAGATGAGATCAAAACCTCGCACGTCAGCGCATTTGAGATAAGATAAGATCTCAGGCACCTCTGAACCCTCTCGCTTGTACTTGCTTCCCGGCCAAGCTCGTCGTTCTCCACCCACCTACGCTGAGAGCGTTCATGACGACGAAGAATGGCACCTGTTCGACGACGAGTAAGCTACATAATTCCACCGCCCTCGGAACCGGTCCCCAGGTTACGGCTTCCTCAACACGGCGCCTCCAAGACGGGCTCGTCCGCCCCTCTGCTCATCCCCTTCCGACATGAGCATGAACAACCAAATGAGCCTTGGCCCAAGTGGGGGCAGCATCCACGACACCGACTTGGTGTGTGTTGCCTTGCGCTCGACACCGCCACGCAGCTCGTCGGGCGTAACACGCCCGAAGGCATCCTCTACAGCGGCGGCCGCGACGGAATGGTCATTTCCTGGGACTTGGGCATCCCAATGAAGAAGCGCGCTCACCGGTACGGAGTCAGCGACAATGTCATGCAAAGGAATTTTGGCAGGTGGGAGATCATGACCGGCTGGGCAGACGAAGTGGCTGAGGACGAAGATGAGGTCGACGAGGGCCGAAGCGACGGCGATATCCTGGGGGATGTGCAGGACGTCAATAGGCGGAATAAGAGGCGTCCGCCGAGACCAGAAGATGGTATCCCCTGGGAAGAGCAGTGGGAGACGGACCTGGAGGCGTTCCAGCCCGGGCAGGTGGGCAGGTTTACTGCAGCCTTTCGCGAAGCCTGACAAACAGCCGTAGATGTCCCAATTCCGCCAGTCCGTCCAAGCGCATACAGACTGGGTGAATGATGTCGTTCTATGTAACCACAATCAGACGGGTACGCTCTTATCTGATAGTTCAAGTCGGACGCTCAAGCTTCTGGTAGTTGTATCCGCATCGTCGGACGGTACAGTCAAAGCCTGGTCTCCACATGCACACTCCCCTTCGGAGCCTGCTATCGTCGGCGCGCACGATGATTACGTTCGGTGTCTAGCTTACTGGTGCGTATCCCCAAATGCTCCTTGTTACTCCCGCTTACTGTTGATCCAGCCGGGACCGCCAGTGGCTTGCATCCGCATCGTTCGACCGCACGATCAAGATTTGGGACCCGGCGCGCACGGAGCAGGATGCTCTGGTGACGCTGAACACACCCGAGGCGTCTGGACCTAAAGCATCCGTGTACGCCCTGGCTGCTGACCCGTTCGGCTCGGTAATTGCGTCGGGCTCGCCAGAACGCGTTGTGCGTATGTGGGACCCTCGCAGCGGCAAGAGGGTCAGCAAACTTGTCGGCCACACGGATAATATTCGCGCCATTCTTATCAGTGAAGATGCTAGATATGTATGTTTCCATCACTTGCAAATATTGCCATGTCGCTGAAGGATATCCTAGCTCCTGACTGGCTCCGCAGATGGTACGCGTGCATTTGGATAATGTGCTACCCTAGCTGACGTTTTTGGCAGCATCCGTCAAATTATGGTCTCTGGCTACTCAACGCTGTTTGCACACCTTTACACATCACGCCGATTCTGTTTGGTCATTATTCTCCAACCATCCGTCTCTCGAGATTTTCTACTCCGGTGACCGTACCGGCCTTGTATGCAAGGTTGACGCCGAGGGGTGCACGGATATCTCAGAGGGCGAGTGTGTGCTTATCGCTCAAGAATCTGACAGCAACGCGCTCAAAGCACTGGATGGTATAAACAAGATAGTCGCAATGGACGACAACTTGCTCTGGACCGCTAGCGGAAGCTCGAGTATCAAGCGTTGGCGTGTGCCGCAGCGCAGAGCCGTCCGCGCGATGGTGCTTGGAAGCGGGTCGGATGAGAACCTCAACTTCACGACGAGTCCGACAGATTCACCTCGAGAGCAGCAATCGTCACCGACGCTGAGTGTCTCCCGCTTTCACTCGCCATCGCACTCGCCCAGTCCAACGCCCTGGTCAAAGTCGAAGCGGACGTCGCTGTCGATCTCGGACGCGCAAGCTAACAAACTGGATTTCGAACGCGAGGGCGACGAGACGTGGTACGGGCTGCCGTTCGAAAGCCTTGTCAAGCTGACGTCGCCGAACGAAGGCTTCGCCGGATTTAGCGGCGTAGGCAGAGGTAGGGACCCCGAGGTTGCGACACTCTATAGCGCGGCGAGTATTATGAGCGTGCCAAGGCTGGTGCGGAGCCCCTTACAAGCAGTCTTCTCCGGGAATACCGCATCGAACGTCAGCGGTCCGCTGGGCGTCCCGCGCAGCGCTAGCCCCATCCAGGCAGATTCGATCACGGCACATTCGCGCATACCGGAGGAGACGTTGCATCCACGCCGAACAGCGCGAGCGGAGTACGAAGAGCGCGAGATGGCATCCGATGCCGTCCCACTCCGCACTATCCCGGACGAAGTGATCCATGGAGAGCAAGGGCTGGTGCGCTGCGCGCTGCTCAACGACCGCGTACACGCGCTGACAGTCAACATCGAGGGCGCCGTCGCAGTTTGGGACATTGTACGCGGCGCGTGCCTTGGGCGATTTATCGCCGAAGATGTTGCAGAGGCAAGCTTCTGCAGCTCAACCTCCTCTTCACATGGAAGCAAATACGACTCGCAGGACACCGAGCGCAGTCCGCGCGAAGCTCTCGAGACGGTGAAGGAGCGCGTCGAGGGTGAGGCGGTCGTGGCGAACTGGGCGAGCATCGACACGAAGACGGGCTTGCTCAGCGTGCACCTGAACGAGCGCTGTTTCGAGGCCGAGATCTACGCGGACGAGGCGGGCTTCGGTCCCGAGAAACATTTTGGGGACGAAGCAAGGAGTACGTACTGCTGCTTTACTGTTCTCTGTAACGAAGTGGTGCTGACTGTGCAACCAGTTAACGTGGGCAAGTGGGTGTTGCGTAACTTGTTCATACACTTCATACGTGACCAGCAACGTGCCGTTGCAAAACGTACCCGCGAGACGAATGTCCCAGAAAACCATAGAATGCATCGAGGGGCTGCACCGGGACATATTGATATTGGAAGCAATTCGCCCGAACAAACGCGGCTATCATCTGAGGCTAAGCGGTCGCCAACGCGCAGCAAGAGTACGGTGGTCGTAGCCTCTCCGAACATGGTTCCCGCTGTGACACCGAGCATCACGACCTCCACGGGATCTTCGCCTCTTATACCGCCGATGATACCCATTAACGCTTCCTTACGAGACCCCTCGGCTCTGTCTCCGATACCACAGTCGCCATTAAGCACTACTAATACGCCTATGCCCCGGCGGTCTGCGACAGTGGATTACGGCGTGCCAGCAGCTATGCGTGAAAACGACTACTTCTCACTGCGGGGACGGAGACCGAGTATGTCTGCACCACCGCCTGTGCCTGTGCCGCCGTCACCCGATGACTTCGGCAGCTGGGGCGCACCGGCCACGAAGGCATCGGACTCTAACCTGTCAACGCCTAGTACGCCAGGCAGACTTATGGGGCGCCTCAAGGCCTTTGGGAAGACGCAAAAAAAGAGTAGCACGGACACACCGGGCGCCGCTACGCCTGGAACGAACCAAACTACCGAGCCGGCGACCCCTGCTGTAAGTTGAGCAATGTATAAATATTAGCTGGTCATCGCTTTAACGTTGTGGACGTTAGGATGTACTACAACATTCACCGCCCAAGACGCCGTTGCAAACGCTGTTCGCAGCACCACTTAACCCGCCGTCATCAAACGAGGCGCCGTCAATCCCGATTCCGCCGCACACGTCGATCCTCATCTCAGAAGAATGCCCGTCGGGCTGGGCAACGTTATACCGCGGGCAGGTGTCGAGCACAGGTCAGGACGCGCGGACGCTTGAAGAGATGATGCCGTTTTGGCTGCTCGAGTACCTCTTTGTGAATAGGATCCCGCCAATCCCGACGATCAAGGTCAGCTTCGTGCTTTTGCCGTACCAAAGCAAGGATCCCAATGAAGATCAGCTGCCGGAGTTATTAAATACGTAAGTTGTGCACCGCGGCGCTGCGCAATGAGCCGGGCTGACTGGTGTTTGCTTATTCAGGGCGCAATCGAAGCTGACGGCGAGCCGCTTCTTAAGAGTGAGAAAGCTCACACATCATGTACGCCCAAGTTGTTGCGCATATACGCAGTTAGGCTGACGTCTGTTCAATTTCAGGTGCATGACAAGCTCGAAAAAATCAGCAATACAGGCTCGCGCACAGCAACGCCCCGTTCATCGATGGACGCCCGCTCGCTTGCGTCGCTCAGCAAGCAGCTCTCACGCACGGACAGCGACTTGCGCCTGCGGCCCGAGGACCAGTTCGAGATTCTCTGCAATGAGACGGTCCTTCCGCTCGACATGACTCTCGCGTCTGCACGGCAGTTTGTGTGGAAACAGTCGGGCGAGCTCGTCATGTATTACCGGCGGAAGAAAGCCGCTCACGAGCAGCCATCCGTTCCGACCGTCGGATCTCATCTCACTGTTGGACACCCGCGCCCTGGCCAGTCTCATGTGTAATCCACGGAGAGCGAGCATCAAGCAATACCTTACTCATGAGTAGATTAACTGTGTTCATATATCTCCTGTATATATTTTTTGGATCGTTGTAATCTGCTGTACAAATCACGGAGGTAATCCTAAGGGTAGAATTTTTCCTCGCATGGCGGTGTGAGAGGAGGTTAGAGTACGCTTGCTATTGTAAGCACTTCTCGCCACACGCTACGACAGATGGTTGAGTTGAAGCTAACGAACCAATTGTCACGGTAGCCTAGCCTGCTAGTCACATTTACCACTAAGCTGTACGCGATGCTCGATTCAGTTCTTCGAGTATTATTCCAGGGACACACCACACGCTGACAAGCCTTTAGATTGGGCAAGACACAAATCATATTCTGCCTTTTTCTGGGCACGAGCGTGGTAGCCGTTGTATGGGAAGGCATACTCCTCTACATCGGGACCCTCGCCTTATATGATTCATAGGCCGCTGAGTTCCATGAAGCTGTCAAAATCCTGATCATGTAGATACACTTGATATTATGCGAGCGTGGGAGCCCTGTCTTTATATCACGGATATCTCTCCTCTCCTCGCCTTCGAGTACTCTCCCACCTTCTGCTTGGAACTTTTTCCGTCTTGAGGTCACTTTGATCATTCGCTATGCGGTGCACAAACTGCGGGGAGGCACCGACAACAGGATCGACGGCATGTCCGCTCAAATGCCACCAAGCTCAATATTGTGTATGTCTTCTTTTCTACTGGCTATATGATTATCTTCCTTATTCTCACTTACACTGTGACGCAGACCGCCAGTTGCCAGCAGCAGCATTGGAGGTCGCATAAGAGACTCTGCGAAACTATGCGCACTCATCTCTCTCTCGAAGGCAAGTTATGGGAAGGCCATGTGACAGGGGTTTGCTGGCAGGACGATCGCCCCCTTGACAAGCTTCGCCCCGTGGCAGACAATACAGAACTCTTTTGCTGTCCGGTTCAACACCTCGACGACGTGCTCCTGCAAGAGTCTCATGTCGCCGAACTCTTTGGAACCCCGCTCGTGCTGATGCGGCGCCAGAGCCAGTTTCTGACAATTCCTCGCCACTATGTGCAAGACGAGCATACAGGGCCTGGACCAACGAATCCTACTGCAGTCCTGTTAACAAGCATTAAAAATGGGTTTGCTAGTGACACGTAAGCCCATTTGGCCATGTATAGGAGGTATCTGAGCGATCACTGAAGAACCCTTTCGTGCCACTAACTCAGCTGGTACGCGGGCAACGGCCGTCCATGGGTAACGTCTGACATTGCTTCTGCATGCCGTCGCTAACATACCCTGTTTTGTAGGCGATGGCATGGAGGAAAGACGGCAAACCGCTGACACCTGAAACCTTCGAGACTATCCTGGAGTTCATCTCCATTGTAGTTCAGGACATCGCGAGCGTGTTTGTCAGCGACGGCTGGTGTCCAATGAAGGAGCAGTTTACTCCGCAGGCGTTTCAGCTCTTCTCAAGGAGGTATTTTCGCGAGCAGCGAGAGAAGGGACGACTAAGCTTCGAGGGACCGTTTGAGCCATTGTAAGCCTAAGGAAATCAGTCATGAAGTGTGAACCAAGATATTTCTCCTTATGCATCGACATCTGCTTACGACCTTTCCAGGGCTCTGGATTCCTCGTCAAGCCACGGATCAGTCAACTTCGCTCGCGGCGTCGGAATCTTAGCAGTGCCAGCGATGGAGAAGTATCCGGGGAACGAAATGCGTGGAGGTTTTTCGTGTGTAATGCATGCTTTACAACATATTTTACACACATGTATATTACCATACCAAAGTTGCAGAAGAGATACAATGCACGCGATATAGTCAATTTCCGCCTAATGACGCGCGTCTATGCTTGCGGCCCTGCTCGATCTCAACCATGGCCAACGACGTCCTTCCGGCATCTTCTTCCATAGACCACGAACGCGCGCGCACCTCGTCGCAGCCATCCGCGTTTTGGTTTGACGATGGTTCCATCATCATTGCAGTTGCAAGGGAACGCTTCAGACTTCACAAATCCCTCTTAAGCAGGCACTCCTCTATCTTTGAGTCGCTGCCTGTCTCGCAAAGCACAAGAGCCGAAACTAGAGACCCGCCAACGGTCGAGATATCAGAAGGCTTGGCGACCCCAAGAGACTTTACAGCTTTGCTGGAGCACCTGTATCACGATGTGTACGTCCTACTGCTCGCCTGTATCGTCTGCACCATCTTATCCCCTGCTCTGGCTCTTTTGCGCTCCGTGACATCACTACACCTTTACAAGACCAATAGACTCTGCTCCACTATCCGCGGTATCATCTTTGCTACGCGTAACATCTGACAAGTCCCTCAGATTCCCCAC